AATTTTAAAAATTAATTATTGAAGACTTCATACTAAACAAGGTAATGTTTTCTATTAATTTTGAAAATTACAAATTTTTTATTATTTGTTTCTCTATATTTTTTCTCACAAAAAAATAGCTACATTAATTATCTTCTTTTTTTTCTTTTTGTGGAGAGAGGTTTTGACCTTCGATTTTTCTAAAATGGGTGTTCTAGACGGAAAGGATAGAGTTGGTTCAGACAAAGAGAAAAACTGCTTGCGTGCAAGAGGGGCCTTCAATACTTGAGTAATAGAAGAAATAGAAGAAATACTTGAGTCACAGAAATACTTCAAGAGGGGCTTTAGCGCGAAATAGAAAAAATGGTTTACAGAGTGTCTTCTTGAATCACAACTTCAATATTCGTGAGAGATGAGTAGACTCAAGTGTGAGAGAGAAATGAGGGTTTGTAGAAAGTGTCTTCTTGGGTCACAACTTCAAGGTCCGTGTATATGAAAATGAGTGATAAGCATCAGAGTGTATCTCTTGGGGTCACAGTTTCAATGCTTCGAAACACAAAACCACGGCATTTTAATAAAGAGAAATGATTAGTGATAAAATATTTTTGTATCCTTAAATACCAGAACAAAGAATTTATTATTGGTGATGAAATATTTTTGTCTTCCACAACTTAACCTTATGAGACGAAAAATATATTCGTCACACAATCAATTAGAATTTATTAGTGACGAAATATTTTCGTCTCCCACAACTTATTCTTCCGAGACAAAAATATATTTGTCGCCTATTTAATAGAAAGATGAAATGGCATTGTCTGCATGATGGAGTGTTTATTGGTGACGAAATATTTTCGTCTTCCATAACTTATCCTTCCCAGGCAAAAATATATTTGTCGCCTAATAAATGGAAATATGCAACGACATCGTTTAATAGGTATGGAATTTATTGGCGACGAATTATGTTCGTCACAAAAAAAAAAATTATATTTTGTTACAAAAATGTTCGTCTCCAATGAGATAAAATAATTCGCGCCAATGCAAATGAAATTGGCGCCTCATTTTTGCAGACAAAATTTTGTTTTCGTCTCCTATACTTTTGAGAAAAATTAAAACAAATGACAAAATTAATATTTCGTCATCTTTGGGTTAAATTTCAAGACAAAAAAAAAAATTCGTCACCAAATTTTGTCACAATAGCCTAGATTTCTTGTAGTGGTCATTAGAGCTGCTATTGCTATAATATAACAGCTCTGTTCAAAAATGATGCTCCAATGGTTGAATACAGTAGCTGCAAAATTTGAGAAATGCCAACGCTTGTGTCAATTTGACACAAGTGTTGGCAGTTGCCATTTGTGCCAACTCAACCTAAAATAACTGTTTCCTTCCCTCCCAACAACTGTTTCACCATTTGTTCATCAGAATTCACCAAATTATTTTTGAATATTTTTTTTTAAATCAACAAAATCAACAAATGAATCAATAGATCACCGAATTAATAAAATTCAACAAAATCAACAAATGGTGAAATCAACAAAATCAATAAAATGGTCTATGAATGAATCTCAAAATCATTTTTTTTACAAAATCAACAAAATCAATAAATCACTCTCAAAATTCGTTCAATAAATCTCAACAAAATCAACAAATGAATCTCAACAAGAAAAGGGAAGAAAAAGTACCTCAATCAATCTGTGAATGAATTGATCTTGTTGTCCTTGGTTCAAAATCGGTATGGAAGGTTATCGATCTTCAAATCAGTCTGGTGGTCCTCGATTTGAGCTTTAAATCTGGTGGTTCTCTCATCTCTCTCTCTCTCTCTCTCTCTCCATCGCCACAACCGTGGACTCCAACATCGACTCCTCTCTCATCTCCAATTGATCCTCCAATCGGTCCCTCTCTCACGGTCCTCAATCAGTCCATCTCTAATCCCCAATCGCCTATCCGAAACCCCCAAAAACTGAGAGAGAAAAGAGAGAGAATAGAGAAGTGAGATATGGTTTGATGGATGAGATACGTTTGATGATTAGAATGAGGAATATAGAGAGAGAAGAGAGAGAGTGATGGACTGATGTTTTGATAAGAGAGAGAAGAGAGATATGTTTTGATAAGGCCTCATCTCAGCCGTTGGATATTTATAATCCAATGGTGATGGTATTATTTGGGAATGTGTAACCTGAGCCAACGGCTCCATTTTAATTTGGAAGTAAAAAAAGGCTATTTTTCGAAACAGACAACATACCAACAACTATAACTTCAACAGTTAAAAAAAACGGTAATATTTTTATAGTAGTATAAATACACACATCTTGTTTCATCAATTTAAGTTTACAGCAATAATTTTTTTTTCAATTATATTTTTCTTTTTAATTTTTCACACAATCAGTATGAAAGGTTCATCAAAAACAAAGAGAGGAAAATCATTCACCATTGAAGAAGATATGTCAATTTGTAGAGCTTGTTGTCACATTACTAAAGACCTAATTGTTGAAAATTCGCAATCGCATACTTATTTTTGGGGAAGGATTTTTGAAATTTTTTGCACACTGCAGAATGATCACTCAAAAACACAAGTGTCTATCTCTTCTTGATGGGGTGTAATCATGAAATGTTGCAACAAATTTCGTGGGTGTCTAAAAAATCTACATCCAAGTGGGGCGTCACAAGTTGATATAGTAAGATTTCATTTTCATTTATTATGTTAGTTTTTTTAATTTTGTCTTATATAAAAATTAACTAATTAATTAATTTAATATTTTATTGATATAGATGCTTCAAGCAAAACTGTTATACCATCAAGATGAAAACAAACATTTTACTTTTGAACATTGTTGACCAATCTTGCAAAACAATATCAGGTAGTAAGATGTAACTCCTACGAACACGGTAAAGTCAATGATACATACACCGTTTTCCCCTAATTCAGCCCCCGATTTCCCTATGGATAACTGCATTTCTCTTGAAAATGACACCAGTCTAAGTGTTGATAACAATCCAACTGTTGGTGAGGGCAGTGTCTCTGCAAAAGGTAAAAGGCCTATGGGTAGGAAAGCTACAACATAATTATTTTGAAAAAATCAAATCGTTCAAGCTGAAGTTCAAAAAATGAGTATACAATTGGACACATTTAACCAATACCTTGTTGAGAATGAAAAGAAAAAAGATGAAAGAGAAGAAAAAATGATTCAAGCATTGCAGGAGATGAAAGAACTTGAGATGAAAAAACATGACTTTGAGATTAGAAGACAAGAACATGAGATGAAAAAGAAATAATATATGATAATGACTACAGACATTTCTCATTTGGACCCTTAGATAAAAGCGTAATACACAATGCGAAAAAATGAGATTTTTGCCAAGAGGTCTTCAAATGTTAGCAACCCAAACTACTATTTCCCTTGCCTTCTGATGAATAATTACGGGATAATATATTTTTAAATTTTGCAATGTCATTTATTTTGTAATGTAATTGTTAGACTTTATTTGCAATGTCATATTTTTATTTTGTAATGAAATTTCATATATGTTTTTATTTTTGAGTATTTTCTACAAAAGAATGTAATATTATTTTTGTAATGTATAATGTAGCAAAATAGTTTAGTATAATTTAATTTTTTCAATAAAGTATAATGAAAAAATAAATATATTTTTTCAAATGAAGGCTAAAAGATAAAATATATTTATTTCCAATTTTTCAATTTTTCAATTTTTCAATTTTTTTTCATTTTTTATATTTGTCTAGTCGGGAATAATACCAATATATAATTTTTTTACAAACAGTTAACAAAAGGTCACAAAAGACAAAAAATAAACAAAAATAAAATCACAAAAAAAATTTATATCCAAACAACACCTATAAACTTTGAGAGAAAGTTGGTTGGGATTTGCCAAAATAGCAAATGACCATTAGAGCACTATTGCTATAATTTGACAAAATAACACTATTTATTGCCAAATTATAGCAATAACAATAATAATGGTATTATAGCAACAATGATTGGATATGCTCTAACGTGTAATGTATAAATTTAAACAACAATAATAGAGACCTTTTGTTTTTTGAGACCCCACAACTCTCAAAGTGATCCATACAACTCATGATGTGAGGCCTCACACATATATGAGTGAAGTGGATCATTTAAAGGTTGTGAGGTCTCCTTAAAAAAAAAAAAAAAGATTCTCACTCATTTTCCAAATTTAAAATACAGTAATTAAATTTCAATGACACTTATCTGGTAATTTTCTAAGCAAAATTTCATGGTATGTATAGTGTAGCCAATCAAAAAACAGTGGGGGTGGTGAGTCACCCCATTGGGGAAGTCTTAGGGGTTGTTTGGGATGTCTTAAATAAGTGCACTTTTTGAATTTTTAGACTAAAAAATTAAAGAACAAAATATAATTGTTTGAGTTAATTTTTTGACTTTTTGTGAAAAAATATGTATTAAAAAATTGTATAAATTAGTGTGTAGGAGAAAATTAGGATTGAAAATTGTATAGCCGTACTTGTTGACTTTTGGTGAATAATGATAACTTTTTAACTTTTTGAATAACTTTTTAATTTTTTGACTTTTTTTCAAGTTGCCAAACTTGAACTTAGGGATTATTTGGGATAACCTAAATAAGTACGCTTTTTATCTTTTTATAAAAAGATGTACAAAAAAATAGAAAGATAATGTAATAAAAAATAATAAAAAAATAAAAAGATAGATTATTTGAGATATGTCAAACTCGGCCATAGGCTTTTTCCTTCTTCATGATAAAGAAAGACCATTTCTGAATTTTATGTGGAAGTATCATAAATATACCAAGGATCCTCTAGAGTGATTTTTTTCTAAAATTTTCTAAAATCGTGTATTATGTGGTTGAGATTTAATGTTAAAAAATTAATGTAATTTATCATTAAATCTCAACTACACAATACACCACTTTAAAAAAAATTTAAAAAAAAAAACTATAGAGGAAACTTGCTCTCCTAAATAACTAGTCTGCTTTTTCTTGTCTTTCTTTACACTTGATTGACCCCCACACACACACACACACTACAACACTTTTCAAGCTTTGGGTCTCGTAGAAACTTCCTGGTTTTTGCATTACAAAGGTGATGAGAGAGACCATCATACAAATGATATTTGAGTGTTTGAAAAGGTAACCGATTGCTAACGGTCAAAAAAAGACCCGCCAAAGCATGACTTCAGAGATCAATGGCACAACTTATCTCTTACACTTGCTTTGCAAGACTCCTTTTCTTCCATCCATTCAAGACTCTACCGATCTGTACAATCGCCACAGTTACACAAAACACCAGAAAAACCTTTTCCCATATATTCCAAGAATGCTCAGATCGAAGAGCATTGAATCCGGGCAAACAAGCACATTCCCGCATGATTGTATCTGGGTTTGAACCCACCATCTTCGTTACCAACTGTTTAATGCAGTTGTATATAAAATGTTACTGTGTAGAGTATGCTCGTAGGGTGTTCGACCAAATGCCTAAACGAGATACGGTTTCTTGGAATGCCATGATATTCGGCTATGCTGGTTCTGGAAATATGCATGTTGCTCAATCCATATTTGACTCGATGCCGGAGAGGGACATGGTCTCATGGAATTCCATAATTTCAGGGTACGTGCAGAATGGTAACTATCAAATATCAATTGATATTTTCTTGCAAATGGGGAGAGCTGGTATAGTGTCAGACCGCACAACTTTTGCTGTTCTATTAAAAGCATGTTCGGGTTTAGAGAACTACAATGTGGGGATTCAGGTTCATGGGCTTGCAATCCATATGGGTTTTGATCATGATGTAGTAACTGGAAGCGCAATAGTAGATATGTACGCTAAATGTAAAATGTTAGACGAGTCATTACGGTTTTTCCATGAGATGCCTGAAAGAAATTGCGTTTCTTGGAGTGCTGTAATTGCAGGTTGTGTCCAAAATGAGGAGCCTGTGTGTGGTTTAGAACTATTCAAGGAGATGCAAAAAGAGGGAGTTGGGGTAAGTCAATCTACTTATGCTAGTGTTTTTAGGTCCTGTGCAGGCTTATCTGCAGCAAGTTTGGGGTGTCAATTGCATGCTCATGCACTGAAGGCTGATTTTGGATCTGATATCATTGTAGGAACTGCAACTCTGGATATGTATGCAAAATGTGGCAGTTTACTTGATGCTAGAAAGCTATTTAACTCATTGCCAAATCACAATCTGCAATCTTACAATGCCATAATTGTTGGTTATGCTCGAAGTGATCAGGGCTTTGAAGCTTTCCTTATATTTCGGCTTTTGTTGAAGTCTGGTCTTGGGTTTGATGAGATTAGCCTATCTGGTGCACTTAGTGCTTGTGCAGTGATCAAAGGGCATTTAGAGGGGAGACAAGTACATGGTATAGCAATAAAGAGTACTTTTTGGTCCAATGTTTGTGTGGCAAATGCCATTTTAGACTTGTATGGAAAATGTGGAGGTTTGATGGAGGCTCATTTTGTGTTTGATGAGATGGAAAGAAGAGATGCTGTCTCTTGGAATTCAATTATTGCAGCTTATGGGCAGAATGGAATTGAAGAGGAAACACTGTCACTTTTTGTTTCGATGCTCCAGTTGAGAATGGAACCTGATGAATTCACTTATGGTAGTGTTTTAAAAGCTTGTGCAGGTCGGGTGGCTCTGAACTGTGGCATGGAGGTCCATAACAGAATAATTAAATCAGGGATGGGGTTTGACTTGTTCGTTGGAAGTGCTATTGTGGATATGTACTGCAAGTGTTCAAAGGTGGAAGAGGCAGAGAAGCTCCATAACAGAATGGAGGAACAAACAATGGTTTCCTGGAATGCAATGATTTCTGGTTTCTCATTGAATGAACAGAGTGAAGAAGCTCAGAAATTCTTTTCTCGGATGTTAGAAATGGGAGTTAAGCCTGATAATTTCACTTATGCGACAGTTCTTGATACTTGTGCTAATCTGGCTACTATTGGCCTTGGGAAGCAAATACATGTGCAAATTATCAAGCATGAATTGCAATCAGATGTGTTCATATCCAGCACACTTGTTGACATGTATTCGAAGTGTGGGAACATGCAAGACTCTAGGCTGATGTTTGAAAAGGCACCAAAGCGGGATTTTGTTACATGGAATGCCATGATCTGTGGCTATGCTCAGCATGGTCATGGAGAAGAGGCGCTTAAGATTTTTGAGGATATGCAACTTGAGGGTGTGAAACCAAACCATGCAACTTTTGTTGCAATCCTCCGAGCTTGTGCACATATAGGGCTTGTTGAGAAAGGGTTGCATTACTTTCATGCAATGTTAAGTAACCACGGATTAGATCCTCAGTTGGAGCATTATGCTTGTATGGTGGATATATTAGGAAGGTCAGGCCAAGTTAATGATGCTTTGAAGTTTATTCTCAAGATGCCTTTTCAGGCCGATGATGTTATTTGGAGAACTCTACTCAGTATTTGCAAGATGCATGGGAATGTAGCGGTGGCAGAAGAAGCAGCAAGTTCTCTTTTGCAATTGGACCCTCAAGACTCTTCTGCTTACATTCTTCTATCAAATATTTATGCTAATGCCGGAATGTGGGATGAGGTTTCGAAAATGAGGAAAATGATGAAGTCTAGTGGGCTCAAGAAGGAGCCAGGTTGCAGCTGGATTGAGGTAAAGAGCGAATTACACATGTTTCTTATTGGTGACAAAGCTCATCCGAGATGCAAAGAGGTCTATGAGAATCTGGATCTGCTAATAGCTGAGATGAAATGGGCTGGTTATGTGCCTGATACTGATTTTGTGCTTAAAGATGAGGACATAGAACATGAGCAGCTAGAAGAGCTAATATCGTGCTTGTAAAATCTGTAGTTTAATTAATATCCAAACTCATTTGACCGCAATGAATAATTTGGAATTTGGATTTAGCTGCAATGCCGACATGAACTGGAAGCAGAGGCACTTCAACTTTTTACTGTTGTGGGATAAAAACATCTGGATGCAACATACAGTTATGGGTGCTTTGACTGTTTGGCCAAAGAGAAAGAAAGCAAAAGAGCTGATACGTCAATCTTTGATAGTGTTGGATGGCAAATGGTAGATTTTTCTGAGACGGTGATTGTATCACATCTTACCAAATTTGACAGGGTTTATGAATTCAAGTTAATCATACTTGGAATATCACTTTATCAAGCAGCTCCTCTGTCAAAATGATGAAGAGAGTCAAATTGGAGGTGGGGTTGGGATCGTGTGCAGATTTGTCAAAAGCAAGAGTGTGGAAATTTATATATGTTTCAACTTGACGATTACCGTTAACTCCCAACATACAACATATTCTCCGAGGCAATTTAAAGGGAAACTGCCACAATTGCCGTTGCAGCAACGATCTCCAATCCTATTCCTTTTTTCAGCAACAACCCAACTGTCAGGTTCACTCCAATGCTGTATACACTTCATGAATGATGAATATTTAAAGTTCTCTTTTTCTTCTTTCACTGGCTACTGAGCCGACATGGGTTAGTCCTCCTCTATTCATTTTTTTATTATAATATTATTTCCCCCTGCAATAATAAAAATTAAATAAATAAATGTAATTTTCCTTAGTGGAAGCAATATGATTTTATTTTATTTTTTTTTCAAGCAGTAGAACAGCCCCTAGCTGATGCGATTACATTAGAAGATGGAAAGGTAGGTGGTCATGAACAATGATTTGCTCATTGCACTAAAATAAAAATTAAAATTAAAAATTAAAAAAAGACTAAAGATCTGAGCTATGCCAAATTATATTAGCTTCTTTTTTTTGTTGAAATCGCCAAATTAGATTAGCTTGGGAGCTGCTTTTAGCTTCTTTTTTTTGTTGAAATCGCCAAATTAGATTAGCTTGGGAGCTGCTTTCTGGACCTTTTTTGGTTGCCTTGTTTATATTTGTCTTTTTTTTATCAGATTTATTTATTTATTTATTATTTTTTTTTTGGGTATATCATTAATTTTTAATTTTTTTATGATCTTTGCCCATGAAAAATAAGAAACTTATGTTATCAAAAAATTACTCAAAAAAAAAAATTAATTAAAAAAATCCAAAAAAAGTCAATTTAAAAGCGGTATCCAATACAACACCATTCACAACAACTTTGGGAAGTGGGTTGGCTTTTTAGTTTTTTGATTTTTTTTTATTATTTTAGCCTGTGCTAAAACGTTTGATTTTGGAAGAATTTTTTGACTTTTTGATTTTTTTAACTTTTTTTGTGAGAAAATAGTATAATGATTATGGATTGGATGTGATGTTTTATTTTTTATGATTAAAATAATTTATTTTGTCTTTTATAATTAGAATAATTAAAAAAACCTCATATTCTTCTTCCCAAACGGTGCCTCAGAAACAAAGCAAAGTATACCGCCTACTCGTTTTGAATTCATTTTGAATTTTTTATCCTAAACGAGGAAATGGAAGATGTGTTTGTTAAGGTTAAGTTTGGCTAAATTAAAAAAGTGTACTTATTTTATCTTTTTATCTTTTTTGAATCACATCAATCAATATTTTCTCTTTATTTTTTTTACACATAATATAAAAAAAATCAAAAAATACACTTATTTAGTCTTCTTAAACTTAGGCCAAGTTTGGGAAGACTAAAAAAGTGCACTTTTTGTCTTTTTGGACTAAAAAATTGAGGGTGAAAATATAGATGTTTGGGTTAACTTTTTGACTTTTTATTGAAAAATGTGTAATAAAAAATTGTAAAAATTGATTTGTAGGGAAAAATTTGAATTGAGAGTTGTGCAGCCGTAATTATTGACTTTTGATGAATAGTATTAATTTTTTAACTTTTTGAGTAACTTTTTAACTTTTTGACTTTTTTTGAAGCCCCCAAACTTGACCTTAGCCTAAGAGTGAAAGTTTGGAATTGAAATGGAAAAAGGCTGATAAAGAAATAGCAAACAAACAAAACAAACACAAAACAAAACAAAAATATGACATGTGCCGATGTGACATTAAGGTCATTCAAAATTGTCTAGCTCGTCATCATCATCAATAATATCGTCAATGCAGCCTTTCGTTGGGGCAATTGATTAAGTTGCCAACTTGGACAGAGATACACTATTATGTAGTCACCTTGTTTTCACTTCTCAAAAAATAATTTTTTAAAAATTTTATTTTTTTATTTTTATTAAATTTTTTTAATATTTTAAGTAATTTTTTTAGACACACATAATATAAATATACTTAAAAAGTAAAAAAATTATAAAAAAAATCTTTTAAAAATTTACTAAATACCAAAAATATAAAAAAAAAATACAAGAATTCAGTACACTTTTTATATTTTTATGTATTTATTAATTTTCTAAAATATCTTTTCACAATTTTTTTATTTTTTAGATACATCTAAGTAAGGTGCATCTAAAAAAATAAAAAAAAATGTTTCAAATTAAAAAAATATTCTCTAAAAAAAACGAAAACTAAAAAAATTAATTTTTAAAAAACTTAATTCAAAAAATTCAAACCAAACACACTGAATAATAATACGAAAAGTTTTTATGTAGAAATTTTATATAAAATAATACGACGTTTTGTTTTGTGATTCTTTTATTTTTTATTTTTTGATAATAGGATGTCTGAATTAGTTTATGTGTATCTCAGTTAATTTCAGAATTCTAAAGTTAACAATTGGATAAACTTATATTAGCCCTAAGATTTGAAATGTTTGACCTTCTTGAGATTCAGGCCTCGTTTGGGAAGTGACCCATTTAGCAAAAAAGTCAAAAAGTCAGTAAAAAAATTAAAAAGTCAACAACCCATACCAAAAAGTCAAAGATTCTCTTTTCTCTTTACTTTTTGCACATCTTTCATAAAAAGTCAAAAAGTCATCCCAAATATATTAATTTTTTTTAGCACATATTTTAGCTAAATAGCCAAAAAGTTACTAAATTAACTTATTCCCAAACGAGGCCTCAATATCAATTGAAAAATTATAAAACACATGAAAATTTAATTCTAAAACACTATATCAATCATTTAATTAATTAATAGGTTGTCTCCGTTTGGGGAGTGGATTGGTTTTTTGACTTTTGGCTTTTTTAACTATTTTAGCCTGGGCTAAAAAGCTTGATTTGAGAATGACTTTTTGGATTTTTTTATTTTTTTTGTGAGAGAAGTGTGTAATAATTATAGGTTGAATGTGATGTTATATTTGTTATGATTAAAATAGTCTATTTTATCTTTTGTGACTAAAATAGCCACAAAAGCCCTGGCCAAACGGATTAGTCTATTTGATTGGAACTTTTACAGCTTATTAAAGTAATAGCTGTGATTTAAATCTCTCAATTTTCATGTGGGTTTTATATCTTTACATATTTGTTGAGATTTCTCTATCTCACTTCAAAAAGTTTATCTATAATAATTGTGTTATATTTTAGCATCATTATTATGTTTAAGGCGAATTACACTAATAGTTCCTATAGTTTGTGATTCGTATCATTTTGATCCTTAATTTTTTAATTGTAACACATTTGATCTTGAATTTTGAGTTTTGAGTTTTGTTCCAAATAAAAACAATTGGAGATACCATTGTTTAATTTTAAAGATAAAATCGTCAATTGAATAAAATATAAACTAATTTGACAAAAAGAATGTCAAAAAAAAATTTAAAAATTTTTAAAAATTATTTTTATCCGCCAGAGATAAAATTATGTAAAATTGATAAATCTTTTAGACATTTATTTTTTTTACCAAATTAATTTTTATTATGTATTTGGATAATGATCATATAATGGATGATGAATATCATATCATATATGAATGTAAAAATAGAATAAATTACAAATACACTCTTTAAATTTGTTTAAAATATGAATTATTTCTTGTAATTTTTTAGCATTACATCATGGCCCTTTAAATTTCTAATTGGATGACAAATTATTTATTTTATTAATAAATCATAAAATTAATTAATAATTTTGAATGATATCAGAAATATATTTTAATTAACAATTCATATAATTTTATTATTAAATAGAAGAATAATTAAAACTTTCAATTTTTTTATAAAATCATTATTCATCATTAAAAAAATAATTATCCGCTAGAAAGACTAAACCCTACTTAAGATTATAATTTTGAATTGTGTCATAGGGCAAGAATTTATATGGATGAGATAAAGAATTAGATGAAATAAATAAGGGGATACTATTTACTCTGTTTGGTTTACATTTTCATAATTTATTTTTCAAAAAATTTTACTTTTTCTTTTTTTGTATTTTTTTTGTTTTCACTGAATTTTTTAAATATTTTAAGCCCTTTTTTTAATTTTCAGACACACCTAACATAAATACACTTAAAAAGTATAATATTTATGGAAAAAAATCTTTAAAAAATTCATTAAATACCAAAAATATAAAATAAATACGAAAATTTAGTACATTTTTTCGTATTTGTATATATTTATTAATTTTTTAAAATATTTTTTTACAAATATTTTACTATTTAGATACATCTAAATAAGGTGCATATTAAAAAATAAAAAAATTACTTAAAATTTTAAAAATATTCACTAAATGAAGTGGCTAAAAATTAATCAAGTCTTGGTGCTAGGCCCAATGCAATGCTCACTCCGAGGTTGAGCTAGGTTGGACCTCGACCCTATGGCCAACACTTACTCCGAAGCAAGATAATCGTAGGAGCTCAACCCAATGTACGAATGTCACTCCAAAGTGGGCCGAGCAGCACGGTGGACCTCCTGGACGGACAGCCAACCACTCCGAGGTAGGTTGAGTAACATGTTGAACCTCCTGGATGGACAGACAACCGCTCCGAAATGGGCTGAGCAACATGTTGGACCTCCTGGTTGGACAACCATTCTAGAGTAGGCCAACTCAAAGAAGGCCAATTTACTGAAGATCTTTCTTGGGCCCACAAGAGGCAAACAACTCTGCTCCTCTCCCTCTGTATGAACAGAACGTGGAGACATAGAGGTGCAGAGAGACAAGGTGTATATATGACAGACCTGCATCTGAATAACAGGCGGAGTGGTCGTCCTCCTCCAATGAGAGATGTCCGCTAATGAGACAAACAAAACAGACCTGCACCCGAGTGTCAGGCGGAGTGGCCATCCTCCTCCAATGGGAGACGACCGCGAATAAGACACATTGGACAGATGGCGGAGAGAGAAGGACTTGAATGACAAACAACCTTCTCCTATAAAAGGTGAACACTATTCACTCTCAAGGTATCCGAAATCCACACACTTAACACATATACACTCTTTGTATTCTCTCTTCTCTCTTCTTCCTCTCCCTGAGTCCCTGACTTTACCATCGGAGGGGTTTCCGACCAAACCTCGATCGGGCAGCCTCACCGTTTGTTATTCTATGCAGATCTTTAATTCCCAAAGCCTGCTGTTCATCTACGAAGTTCAACCCTTCTTCATAGTGCAGAAATCACCCCCGCACAATTGGCGCCGTCTGTGGGAAAACCACTGTTTGCTTCGTGACGAACTCCGGC